TGCTCCTAATGTATTTTTCCTACAGTTCAGACACTTTGAGGCAGTTTTTAAATAGCACCTCACACGTAGGTCTCAACATAACTGTTATTTTAGCTAAAAATTTCCTGCCTGGCTCTGTTGCCTACTGGGTAGATAGTACATAGTGAAGGCTAAATATGTGAGAAGGGTGTCATAACTTCAAATGATGTAAGATATGCTATGATCATTCTAATCTATTACTGTGAAATGTTATTTGACTTGGCTTGGATGTCTATATTAAATATAACAAGGTTTTGACAATTTCTGCTCAGAGTCTGTGAAATTATGTGTTGAGATTCCACTAATTTTTTCTTGACATATGGTTTTAATAGCAAGTTCCAAGTTATTGACCCCATATGCTTTATAGATAAAACTACCAACAGCCAATTCACTGGTTCTCACTAGAGTACAAGTCCTCTGATTGGAATTTAGGCCTGTTTGGGGTTTCCTACATTATGTAGAAGTTAGGGTTGTAGGAAACAAAATTGCAGAATTCTATTTGGCTATTAAAGAGTGAGTGAATATAATTGTTCAGGTTAAATGGTAGAGCTAAATTTCTAACTCATAGAAATTCAAGAAATGCAAAGAGGCATAATTTATCCAACCTCCCAATGACACCCTCCAACTGAACATGTCAAAGCCGAGCTCATGATGTAATAACTCACAATATCTCCTCATAGTTTCTAGTCTCTCAGAGAATGGCAACACCATTCATCAGCTCAAACAAGTAGCAAGTTATCCTTGATATGCTTCACATCCAATCCAACACCAAGTCCTTTTGATTTGATTTTTTATTTTCTTTAGATCTACCTACTTATTTCCTTTCCCACCAGCACTATCTGAATCCAAACTTTCACTGTTCTCCTGAGGGATACAGCCATGACCTGTTAGGTGGTCTATCTACACCCTTTTTTAGATCTCTTGAATTGAATGTCCTCTACACATTGGTTACAATCATCTTTACAAAACACAACCTGATAATACTCCCCTGTGAACACACAAACACAATCACACACACCGATGATATTTCATAATTCTGTCATGCTCAGGATAGAGGCACAAGTCCCCACATATTCTAGCCCATGCAGATCTTCGTCATCTATTCTTGTGCTTTGCTCCCCGAGCTTCCTGTGTTCCATCTACATCAGCCTTCCTTCAGTCCCTCATATACATCATCTTCCCTCTTGCCATAGGGTCTTTCCACAGGCTGTTCTCTCAGCTTACACTCTCTTCATTTGATTAATATCTACTCACTTTTTAAATCTTAGCTCAAAAGTCATTTCTCTAGAGAAACCTTCTCTGATTTACTTAACTAAATTTGATTTTTCATTATAGGCTCTGATAGTCCATGTTTCTCTCTTTCCTGGCACTTATAATTTTACGTTTGTCTGCCTAATTTATTTTCTCCACTGTACTATAACTTATGTTTTCTTCACTGCACTTAAACTACATGAGGGTTAAGAGTCATGTCTGCTTTGCTCAACATTTTACAGCCAGCCTCTGATATACCAACAAAAAGGAATGGCAAAGGTTCTTTAGCTAGAGCTGGCCCCTTCCACAAGAAGCATTATCTTTCAATAAAGAAGAGTAAACACTAAATCAATAAAGAAAATATTGTTACAATAGTGATAAGTGAAGGTGATGTAACGAGGTATTTTGTTGAAGAGTGATTGACATAGGACAAAGGTTGAGGGAGGGCAGCATTAATTGATGTAGCTAGGAAAGGACTTGTTGAGAAGATGGCATGGGGACTGAGTCTTGAAAGAGAAGAAGCGGCCAGTTTTGTGAAAAGTACTCTAGGCAGAAAAAATAGTCAGTGCAATTAACCAAGCTCTGCGTAGTAGATCCAGTCTCCTTTTGCACTGTTGTCAAGAGACAGCTGCTTTGGAAGAATTTGGCATTTTCCATGTGGAGGTCAAATTCTCCACAGTGTTTGGTTTGTTTCCAATAAACACAGGATGAGAAAAGATAGGCTTTGGCGTTGTGCACTTTCTTCTTAAAGTCCCTCAGGGTGACCTATGAATTGTCCACAAGCACACTGCAGAACAGTGTGCAGGTGAAGTCACTGACATCCCTCACAGTTCCTGTAAATGCTTGAGTCCTGGGGCACAGTCTCCCGGGTGTCTCCAGCCCCTGAAATAATTTTATGAACTAACAAGATAAGTTTTACCCTATCATTTTCTTCCCACCTCTCATACCAAATGGATAAATAAGTTGATATTATTTTAAAGATTCTTTTCTAGTTTCATTAAAAAAAATTATCTTCATAGAACTATTTCACATCAAAGAACTAGAAAAGGAGAGTGCTACACAGTTACTCTCCTTCCTCAATAGTATAGAAAGAATGTATTTCAGTTGTGATATCTGAAAAATTTTCTCCTGTTATAGTATAATTATTTGGTTTCCAAAAGGTAGAGGAGAAAAAAAGTATGACATGTTTCTAGTACAGTGTTTCAAACAGCTTTTAATCAACCTCTAAATACATTTTAATCAAATTCATTGTAACCAAATATGTATTTCATTTATGCAGAAAAAAATGATTTGTATTTTTGTTATAGTTTTATCTAAATAGGTGAGATATAAAAGTTTTGCTTCATAATTTTTAGTTACGTATATTGAAATTTATTTGCCTCCAGGTTGTAAACCCAAAATGTATTAAATCCTTTGCACTATAGTAATTATCTGACAACTTGACAGACAACTGGAATGTGAGGTTCATAAATATTTTATCTTTTTTATATGCCTAGCAGAGGTTTTCAAATTAATGAATGCAAGTTACTGGAACTGTGAGTTGTATGTCAACTCACTACAAAGGTTAAGATTTTCAAATTCCTTTGCAAGGAAAAGTGACAAACATTTTATTTTCAAAATATTTGTGCAATCTTAAAGAGCACATTTAGGGAGCTATCCATCTTCAAATTTCAAGCTAAATTTCACCACAAAAAGAGAAGACAGATAAAGCCCACAAAATAAATTGATCATGTTGCTGTGTTCTTTATCATCCTAGATGGCTTTCACATATCTATTTATTTTCTGTTACTGCTGATACTGCTTAATATTTTGGAAGGAGACTGTGCAGAAAACATCCCTCTAGCTTCATCATGTTTCGCTGCCGTTCATTGCAGTAGCTGATGTAAGAGCACATCTGAGTCTGATGGTGAATATAAGAACTCAATTGGTCCTAAGTTCTGGACTCCATAGGAGTAGGATCCCAAATTGAAAGCAGTGTAGACTACATTCAGAGCAGCAGTGCAGGACTGGAATAGGAATGAGGAATTTGTGGAAGTTAATTAATTTTTCTTACACATATTTAAAAGGTTTAACCAACCTGTAACTGGCCAATTTATTTCAATTCAACCAACAAATATTTTCCTTTTGAAAACCACCTTTTAACACTATTCCGTACTCCTCTTCCTTTCAAATTTTAGAAAATATTAAATTTCAATGTGTCAAATCTCTCTCCAGCTAATTATTCTAATTAGTTACTTAAGTGTGTAGATGAAGCACCTTGTGTTTCTTCAAATGGCAATAATGCCCTCTCTAATGCTGAATAATTAAAATGCCAGGTAACAGAGAGAAAGGCTGGAAGTGTATTACAGCAGTGTAACAACTCCGAAAGAGCCTTGTTGTTGCCTAAAGAGGAAGTGATCTATTTTAGCAAAGCTGCAGTCCTGCAATTCTCAAAATTTGGTGTGCCTAAGAATCATGTGGAGAGTTTGATAAAATGCAGACACCAGGGCTTCATCTCTAGGAATTCCAAATCAACGGTCCTGAGCTGAGGCTTAGGAATCTCATTCTTTAACAAGGGCTCCTGGTGATTTGTACCAGATATGTGGAGTAATGCTTCATTGGATTGGCAAAAGCTGC